CTTATCACTGATCACATTCACCTGTACCTAGGGCTGGGCGATAAAACGATAACGATAATTATCGCGATATAATTTTTCTCGATAAAACGATATCAAGAGGTCGATAAATGTTCGATAATGTTTATGCGCCAAAAGCGGAACGAAACTCATTTGAACCGCGCGCGCCTCCCGGACTGTTTATCCGCTCGGCTCAAAGTCCAAACGGCAGCGCAGCGCGAGCTCACCTCTATGGAGCTCACTAGCAGACGCGTTTACTCTGATCGTCTCGCTCACGAGATCCAGTGAGAAGCGCTTGAGTTCAGCGAAGAACACAAATGTTTAAAGGCTGATGAAACACCGCTGACAAACAGGAGAAACACTGCGCGCAACAATACAGTCAGAATCTGAATTGATACTGAATCCATTTAGCCTACCATGGATTTACTGTAAGGTTAGCCTAGTGATATTAACTGCACCATGAAATGTGGGATATACATATTGAATTGTAATTTGTATAATATTATTAATGTAGACAATGTATTAAATGGCTAATGGAATATAATTATAGTATTTAATAATGTATTTAACTGTTAGGCTACTGTTTTTCATACAAATACCATAGAAACCATAAAGTTACATTTTGCCATGATAGTGAGGTGCTATAAGTTAGGCTATGCCTGGTTTTATCTGTGGTTATCATGATCTAAATGCATGGTACTGGATGACCAATGGTTAATTTTAATAAAACTCAAACAGTCAGAATATTACATTTTACCAAATAAAAATGTGTTTTTTTAAACAGATGTTACTGTTTTTGTTAATGAACATAAATTTAACAGAGTAGTATTGGCTTGAGTTAGTATGCAGATTTACTGTCAACTCACTGTCAAATATGCATTTCGAGACAAAACATGTAATTTGAATATTGCAGGCTGCACTGCAAACTGTGCTGAAGAAATATTTTTCTATTCAGATATTAATTTTGTTAAGGAAAAATGACAAATGTTTGAATGTTCTACCTCAGATTTGTGAAATGTTCACCTGTTTGTCAAGTGTTTGTCATGATATGTTCTGACAGTAAAAAGTTAAAACCACAATTAACGCTCTGGTTTATACAACTTTCACTTAGGAGCAAAAATCTGCCTTTAAACTTGAAAGAAATAAAGATTTGACATTTATCGTGATAATTATCGATATCGACTGATATATAAAAAAATATCGTGATCATTTTTTTGGGCCATATCGCCCAGCCCTACCTGTACCTCATTCTCTGATTGCATTCACCTGTGTCTCATCATCCTGTTAGTCTGTCTATTTATACCAAGTTCATTCACTCACCGCGAAGTCTTGTTTTAGTGTCACACTGCAATTCTGAGCATTCTCCCCGTTTTCTTGACCAAGGTCTTTTTGGATTTCTTGCCTGTTTTGGATTACTCTTTTGCCTCTGACCCCTGCCTGCTTTGTGTGTTTGTTTGTACGGACTGCCTGCCTGTGTTTGACCTTGCCTGTTTTGGATTACCCCTTAATAAAACTGCATTTGGATTCTCCACCTTCGTGTCTCGGAGCAGTTTCGTGACAAATTCAGGGAAGATTTTTTTTAAGAAACTAAATATAAAGATACAAAATATAGTTTTGGGTATAGGACCTATGCTACTTTATAAAGATGATATATACTTATTTAGAATGCTGAGAATTACAGCTTTTAATGCAATAATTTTTTGAGAAAGCAAGAATCCCCAGTTTTAAATGAGTGGTTAGATTTAGTTTCTAAAGTACATTATGGAGAGGATAACATTAAATTAAGAACAAATGTATACATTTTGAAAAGATATGTGCAACTCTAAAATCAAAGAATATTCCATAAAATAAAGGAATATATATTGGCCTACATTAACTACATTTTTATGTAACCTTCCCTTTTATTTGTAGTTATTTGTTATTTTATTTACTTATTTAATATTGAATATTTGATATTTAAATAATATTACTTGAATAACTATTAGGAATTATGTGTCATTCATTATAAGAGTTTGATATATGTGAATGTTATATTTTTATTAATATTTTTTTATTGTTTTATTTATATGTATGTGTTGGTATTATCACAAAAGAAAAAAAGTAGAAGGAAAAATAAGGAATATTTATTGGGGGAAAATATGATGTCTTTAAAGGAACTGTCCATTTGTATAATTGTGTTAAATGTGTTTGAATTGGAAGACATAATAAAGTACATAATATATATATATATATGAGACAGTGTAGAGAAAGAATTCTCTGATAACCGAGGCACTCCTTAATTAAAATGTCTTTATTACAAAAATGACATGTCCTAAACGGACAACTTTAAAACGCCTTATATATATGTGTCTATATTGTCTATATTGTAGCCTTATTTAAGTTGATTTTCTGTATACTGTGTATTTATAAAGTCCAATAATGGTATTAGAGACTGTCAGTGGTAATATCATTGTGTTCTTGTCGGTCAGTGTTGAGGATCTGTGTAACAACTGAGGCTTAGCCTGACAGTTAGCCTGCCCTGGACCAGGCTAGTTTCCCAGCATAAGTTGCCAGGGTAACTGAGTTTGAACCTTTTTAAGTTTGATTAATGAAACCGAATCTACCAAAAATAAGCCTGACTAACCAAAATAAGCCTTGCTTATACTCTAATCTTGGTTTATGGAACAGCCCCCAGGTGGATGGTTACTCAAGAATTCACTTTACTGGGCCTGGGACAGACAGAACTGGGACAAACACGACCAAAAGCTGGTTAGCGTACAGTGCATCACGTTGCTTAAGATGCCAGCAGCGAGAGATATGAGACTCTGCTCATATACATTTTTACAAAGTGATCGTGAACATATAGTGGAATAAAACTCAGAATAAAACATACATTAAAGAAAATATAAATCACTGTCTCTGTTCTCATTTCTCTTATCACTTCACATAAATACAGAGAAACTATAAACTTAAGTAACCATCATTTTACATATTTTTGTATAAATGAAATACTGAAAGTGAAGAACGCTGACCTAAAATGGCGCAGTTACACAGTTCAGCACGTGTGTGCACATAGCACGTGTGTTAATGCTAACACTAAATTTAGCTAACATATTTTTACACAGAACATGACAAATCTGAATAAAACATAGCTGGGACAAACACGACCAAAAGCTGGTTAGCGTACAGTGCATCACGTTGCTTAAGATGTCTTAAATGAAAATAAACAGAGAATCGGAGTTCACATGCAGGTTAACACACACACTCTCCATTTTATCATCGCAATTCGCAAATAACACATTTGACTCGACTGACAGAACTAGTAACTGACAGTCAAATGAAGTAAACTTGTGTGTAATATAAAAGTCCTACCTTTGCACTTGAAAACTATCTAAACTCAGTTTATATGAAGCACCGCTTATTAGCGACTTACCAGCAGCGAGAGCTAGCTATAGCTATGTTTCCATCCACACGTTTTTATCCGCATTAAGTGATATCGAATGAAAAATGCCTTATGGAAACAGTAAAATTCGATTGAATTTCATGAATATCGACTCAAATGAAATACGATCGGTCTCATCGGATTTTATCTTGATCGATAAACGGCTTATGCGATAAACGCGGATGGAAACGGTATTATGGTGCGATCCATTTTGCCTAGTAAAACTTTGTTCGCAAATGTTGGCTTGAATGTTGTGCAATTCGGTGAGAAATTGAATGGAAACACCTTAACATGTCTCAAATCAATTCGATATACCAATTTGATCGCAAAACAGCATGTGACGTCATTACGCACAGGTTTTTATCCGCTTTAAAGCCATTTGATGGAAACACACTTTCACCAGCTTTATTCGCATGAGGTTTTTTACCGAACTTCAGATAATTCGATTGACAAGTGGATGGAAACATGGCTATATGAGACTCTGCTGGTGGTGACGACGTAGCTCCGCCCGCAATATCACGCACACAAATACGAGTGACGCAACAGCCAATGTCGAGTTTTCCCAATTAATGCATGAATTTAACAGCGTTATTTAAACTCTGCTACATATATGTATTTTTTTCATACATTTTATTTTCTGCCAGTTAAACATGCTGCAATAAAAGAAAAATAGCACACTTCTCAACAAGCTGCATGTCATGTGCCTCCACAGTCGTGTGGTAAATCAGAAGAAACCAGCACAAGTCTATTTGTGTGGATTGCTAAAGTAAACCGTATTGGTGTAACATTAATATTTCACTTTCAAATTGTTATATAAAACCATCTAGATAAGATATAATCCCTGTTTATCGTCCAGTGTAACCTTTGATTTGTCCTATGATGTTGGTGTTATAAATGTAAAGTTGGTTCTAATCATTTTGAAGCAGTGTTAATATTTGACATTTTGATTGTGTTGGCAATAGGAACACAGTGTAATAGATAAAAACTTTTCTGAGTTATCCAGCAGTGCAGAGTGTGAAATATTCATTGTTTTCATGTATCTTTACAGAAGTCATATTTGAGTTAAAGGCTATCTTTGAGAGATTTTTAATATAAATATGCATTACAAATACAAGCCTAAAATGCAACACTCAATGTTATACAATGTAATAGGATTCCTTGCTCAATCTTTCTACCAAAGGGTCCATGGCCTAAAAAAGGGTAAAGACTCCTGATATTGATAAGGTATAAACTAAGAAAAAAGTAATATATATTTAAAACTGTAGTTTTTTTTTTTTTTTTTTTTTGAAATGCAGTAATTGTTGGTTACACTCTGATTTGGGATGTTAGCTTTTACTGTTGTATTGGTCTATATAAACTATTGCATGAGAAGGTGTGGTGGTACAAACTCAAAACAAGGCCAGTAACAAAATCTGAGTTCAAGACATCTCAAATATCCTTAAATAAACTTGTAACATCAACTTCTTTCCAGAAGATCACTCCCACAGCACTCCTCATTATTGGCCTTTATGAAGCACCTTTGATACTTGATTACACCAGAGAACAACTGTTTATGGCACACAATAAGGAACAGCTCAGAGGGAGAAATTACACAAGGAATATTCATTCTCTTCCCTCAAAGACTTCATAATACAGGCGGCACTGACAGTGAATTATGGAAAAGATGGATTTATTCTACATTTTATTTATTTTAGCCTGTCTTCATGTCCACAATGTAAGGAGTAATATTGGTAAGTCAGAATTCATTCATAACCGGCGGAAGTTCAAATGTTTGGATGGGAGGCAGAACTTTGCTGACATGATGACGCTGTTGTTTATCAAAAAATAAATCTGACAATGTACATCAAGATTTTAATATCTACCTACCTGTTGTTTAAAAACATGTTTTACAGGACAAAGGTTTTTTAATGAAGTAAAATGCTCGTCAGGATTTAGTGTTGATCTGTTTACATTTCCTATATTTAATATACACTGTATATTAAATATATTTTACCGTAAAATATAGAACTATATTTTAGTACACACTGTTCAGCTCACTCTCATTCTACATTCTTTAAATTGCTGCAATCTCGACAAATAATTGATGTACATAAAGAGAAGATTTGAGGATGGCAGTTGAGCCATGTCACTAAACCATTTCAGCAAAATTTCAGCATTTCAGAACAATTTTTAACTGAATGCTTAATTTGTCTTATGTTGTCTTTTATCCGTTTATTAAGTGAAACCAGTGACCGTCTCAAACACAGAGGTATGTTTAATTACACAATAGCATAATCCAATCATTCAATAAAACATAAATCATTATAAAAAAAAAAAATTATTTAGCAAATAAACTTTCATTATAAAGTCATTTGTGCATTTCAGATAAAAAATACCCGGGAGTTAGAAGTTCAGAATGTCAATGACAATCCTCCGATCTTCCAGAGTAAAACATACAGTGCCACAGTGTCAGAGGTGTGTGTAATGTCACATCTTTAAACAGCAGAAGTGTGTTTAGTCACTCAGAGACTTACATCTCTTTGTAAACTGTCTTTTGCTCCAGGCGACAGCTGTGGGTTCAGATGTGCTCAGGGTTATAGCGGAAGATGCAGATGTTTCTCCAGAAAACAACAAAATTATATATTCTATACTGGTGAGTCTAAACTGAGTCTAATGTAGTAATTGATGTATAACTAACATAATAGGCTTTCACAAAACTGAATTACTGGTGACCGTGACATGTTCCAGGAAATACATTTAACTTGGACTGGAATTTGCTACTTGCTATTGCAAAAAAGCAACGGAAAAGACATGTTAATTGCTTAACAGTATGCACCCCTATATACAGTGGAAAACTGTAATAGCTCTCACGGGACATTTCATGTAATTTTTACAGTAAAATACTGTTAAATGTATGGATTTTGGAAGTACACTTTAAAAAAAAAAAACCTTACCGTTGCATTTATCGTACCTTACCGTAAAAAAATACGGTAGCAATTTTTATGTTTTACATCAAATTTACGGTAAAAACTGGCAGCTGTGGTTGCCAGTACTTTACTGTAAAAGAATACGGTAGAAATATTTATGTTTTACAGCATTGAACTAAAGTTTACGGTAAAAAACTGGCAGCTGGTTGCAAGCGATTTACTGTAAAAAATATGGTAGTAATATTTTAGGTTTTGAAAAACAGTCTCTACCAGTTGATCTACGAACGAACGCCGATCCAAGCCTACTGTTCGCGCTCACCTTATCACAACTTATAGCTCGTTCACATCTCACCAGCGCACTTGGATCGGCGTTCGTAGATCAACTGGTAGAGACTGTTTTTCAAAGATGGCTCCTGTCTGTATACGCGAAGTTGACTGTATGTTTAAAATATCTTCTTATTAAACTGTCTGGACACTGACAAAGTTCTCAATGCTTCGGTTTGAAGGTAGGGACCCTCATTATGCTACCGTGTTAGTGTGGGGCTATTTTGAGCCTTGTTAGTGGTATTAACAAGCGATTTTTATTTGTCATTACACTATGCCCAATATACTACCGTTATACTAGCTTTATAGGCTAAACTGTTTTTAGAGATAAAACTATTTACATTCGATAATCATGAAAACAAATCTCAGATAACGGTTGACTAGGTAACAATGTGTAATTAGACCAAAGGTTCATTTTGCGCCGGAGTTCTCCTTTAATATTTCAGGTTTTATGGCATTGAACTTCAGTTTATGGTATATACTATATATACAGTAGATACAGTAGTTCAAACCTTTTTTGCACACAACGTTTTTAAAATTCTTCAGATTATTCTGAATTAAATTCAGATTCACAACACTGATTGATCACATGCTGTAGAAGCATAGGGCTACTACCATCAATAATGTAAAATTAATGACCCATATAATGAAAGATAAGACTCTATATGAGCTCAGTGAATCAGTCCATTACATGATGATTATGTCATTATCAAGCAACATCACCTGTCTCTTCTTCTCTCTGATTTTCTTGCCATAACCAACGTGTCTTACAAACATAGTTACAGCAGCCAGAGATATACTAATGTTACTAGTCAAGGGTCAAGAGCCCAACTAAAGAAAACACTGATCACCATCATGGTAACTTCAAATGAAACAATAAACCATCAACATCTAAACCTCTGTTAATTCTCAAACATAACTGTAGACGTCTGACAGAAATTAAGTAAATCTGATTAGTAAGTGAGGCTGGTAATGCTGTTTGTGGAGTTGTTTAATCCTCCTCTGCTGAGATCTTCAGAGATTTAATGTTTTTTCTCTTCAGTTGATCTAAGGCTGTGGCCGAAATCAGTTGCAGTTTTTGTGTTTCTGCTCGTTGCTTCTCTTTTTTCTGTTCTTGTTGTTTCTTGTCCAGAATTCCCTACGTGAGACTTCACATTTGATGTGATTTCATTTAAATAATTATGTTTCTTCTTAGTTTTTGTTATCAGTTATATACATTTGGGGTTTATATTACATTATATATTGTTTAATGAATATTAATGGCATTATTTTGGAGTCATGTGTGTGTCACCCTGATGTTTTGTATTTGTGTGTATGGCTTGATGGTGATGAACTTTGAATCATCATGTGGTTTTCTTTTATTACCGCCTGTATTATTATGGTGGTTATCAGAATATTACAAAGATATAAAACAGAATTTATTACTTTAGTGAAATTGAATTATAACATATCGGTTCATGAAATATAAGGGTTGTCCCTTGAAAACTAAAAGGTTACTACTGTTTTTTTTATGGTAAAGTACTGGGAACCACAGTTGATGTATTTTACCACACATTTAAGTCCTGCTGATGTTTTTTTTTTTTTTTTTTTTTGCCGTAATTGTAAGTCTAAAGTAAGGTTTCTACCATATTTTTTTAACGGTAAAATACTGGCAACCAAGCTGACGTTTTTTTTACAGTATATTTCACAGTTTTTTTTACATTGTGTTTTTTTTTCTTGCCCGTAATTTTAAGTCCCGTATAAAACATAAAAGGTTGCAACCATATTTTTCACGGTAAAATATTGGCAACCACAGCTGCCGTTTTTTTACCGTAAATTCAAAAAGTTTTTTTTACAGTGTGGACAAAATGAGTGAGTGCACAATTAATCAATATTTTTGGTCCAATTTTCACAAAAGAGAAAAACAAAATTTAAGACATTTCAATATTGTTAGGTATGGACAGATGCAGCTGCAGATAAGGCAGCTTTATTAAGCCAAACAGTACAAAATCCAACAGGCATAATTCAGAACAGGCAGAGGTCAGGCGATCAACAAACAATATAACACAGTAGAGGCAAAGAACAATATCTCCAAAGAGATACCAGTATAAAATCAAAAAAGCAAGAGAATACAGATCACAAAAATACAACATCACAACAACATGGAATGAGCGTATACTTCACAAAGAGTGTGAAGATGTGAGTCTCTTTATATAGGGTATTTGAGTATGTGTGTGAATTGATATCAAGTGTGTGATCTGAATTTGAGTGTAATAATGTTTGGTTTGTGTTTTCTTATTTAAATTACATACCCCTGACAGCCTCCAGCACCAGATGAACTTGAAGTGAGAAGTGACGGATACATCCGTTTGACACAACCTCTGAACTACGACAATGCTCAACAGCACATCTTCACCGTGCAAGCTAAAGTAAAGACAAACTCTCTGACATCCTAACCTACATTTTACTAACTATTGTTCTTAAGGAATAATTTGCCCAAGAGTAATAATTATGTCGTCATTTACTCACCCACATGTTGTTCCAAACCTGTACACACTCAGAAAATAAAGCGGGGCGGTACCCTTTCAAAAGATACACCTTTGACCTTTTTTACTCCTAAAGTTTGCATATTACTACCTTGAAGATACATAATACCTGTTGAAAGGGTGCCACTCCATTGCCCTTTTTTTCCGAGAGTGTAGGACTGACTTTCTTCTGTGGAAAACTAAAGCAGATGTTTAGTATGATTGTCCAAACTGCTTTTTCCCATACAATGAAATATACATTTTTGGATGAACTATAATTTAAAGGTAGATAGTAATACAAACCCTATGTTTATTTGCAGGATATAGGAGATCTCAGTGACACCACAACAGTTACAATAACAGTTGAAGATTTTGACAATCTAAACCCTTATTTTGATCACAGTCTCTACAAGGCATCCATTAAGGAAAATCAGGTAAATGACGTCATGATCGACATTTAAACGCATGTCTGACCAAACAAATGAAACCCTCCATGTCTTTTCTGTCCATGCACAGGTAGGACAGTTTTCAAACGTCACTCCTGAGGCCATAAAAGCTCAAGATGGCGACACGGGCATCAACGAGCCTGTAGTTTACAGCATAAAATCAGGTGCTATTAACAGAAGATTTCTAGGTTACACAAGTACTGAGTAATATTGAGTAACTACATGTACTTACTATAGGGTTAGGGTAGGATTATGGATTGGTTTAGGGTTAGTTGTATGTAATTATGCCTAATTTACTGTTATTACTATGGTAAGTACATGTAACAAGGACACTAAAATAAAGTGGTACCGATTTACTCGTTTTTTGATAGGCAGTCACGACTTGTTAGATCAGGCATTCTGCAGACTTTAAATCAGACATGAAAATAAAGTGTTGTAAGATTACATTTATTTGAATGAATTAGAGAGAGAGAGAGATGTGTGTGTGAATTACCTGCGTCAGTGCAGCATCTCTCTACTATTAAGGAAGCTGTGAGTTTAATTACATCAAAAACAGCAATGTTACCACCTTCTTGCTGAGTAATGCATAGCGATTCAGTAGCAAAGCCATTTTATTAATAAAAGTCGCGGGCAGCTTTGACAGCCCGATCTCACGGCAATTCGTACGAATTTTACTAGGTGGCTAATTCGTACTAATTCATACGACCTCACTCGTACAAATTCATACAATTTTTGCTAATTCGTACATATTTTACGAGTTACCAAATTCGTATGAATTCGTACGAATGACCTACCCCTGACCCTGCCCCTAAACCTACCCATAACGTGGGTTTAGACAAATCGTACAAATTCTTTCGAGTGAGGTCGTATGAATTAGTACGAATTAGCCACCTTTTAATCACTCGTACGAATTCGTACGAATTGGTCGTGAGATAGCGTTGGCTTTGACAAGTTTCTGTGCTCCTGAATGTTTCTGTGTGTGCACAGCATGATCTCCAATCTCTGTGTGCAAGTGATGTGTGTGATTCTGATTCAAGTTTCTGATAATAAAACGGCAAATATCCACATTTCTGTTCCAGTCCTTCCAAATGAATATCAGAGCAACTTTGACATTGATAGAAAAAGTGGAGTCATCTCTGTGAAAACAGCACTAGACAGAGAGGAAATCGACCAGATAACTGTTCACATTCAGGTATCAGACGTTTCTGAAGACATTCATGAATCTGAAGAATTTCAGTATTTTGATAATATTTTCTAATCAGTGTTTCCTTTTGTAAATAGGCAACTCAGCAGTATGATGCCAGTAAGACTGCTAACGCTGTGGTGTCCGTCACCATTGAGGATGTGGATGACAAACCTCCAAAATTTGACCAGGATGAGTACACCGTATCTATTCTGGAAAATTCACCACAGTATCAGTTGGTTCTTCAGATTACAGTCACTGATCTAGACATGGTACTGTACTGTTGTTCCTGAAATGGTGACTAAAATGGTGAAACTCATGAAAACTAGGGGTGGAACGGATCGCAGTTGATTCGTGATCCGTACGGACCAGGCCCCACGGTTCGGCACGCGTGTGATTTGCAGATTAACTGCCAAATTGAACCATCATAGAGTGAAAGTTTATAATTTGGACAGCCAATTTACACATTCAAACAATTTTAAACGCAGAAGAAGAGGCGAAAATCGGGACTCACAGTTGCACACAGTTGAAGTGCACGCACAGAGAGAGAGAGGGACGCATTTCAGATAGCGTTAGAATCATAGATATCCATAATAAAGGCTAGATGTCTCGTCTGCGCTGCTGGCAAATGGAGGTCGACGTCTGCACCTGGCGGCCATCTTGTCACAGGCAGCTCGCTCACTCGTAACATTGTTTTAAATAACCATAACTTGCTCAATTTTCTACCGATTTTCAAACGGTTTGGTTTGTTATAAACGTCAGAGATGTAGTTATGATACTGCAAACGTATGAATAATAAGTGTATAAATAAATAATCATCCAGAATTATAGCCACGTTAATAACGTTTGTAAGAAACCAAACCGTTTGTAAATCCGTCAAGATTTCAACGAGATAAGAGTATCTGTGATCGTGCTGATCACTCATCTTACATCAGGTACCACAGAGCCCGCCAGAAAGCTTGCCTGTGACAAGATGGCCGCCGGTGATGATGATCCTTGCCCTTAAACGGACACATAAAAAGAAAATTATGTCAAAATACCCGTCTAAATGCCCGTCTCGCCACGGATTCTCTCGTTTATGTCGTAAGTGAATAGTTGAGAAAGAAGACGGATGTTTGTCAGTATTTTGTTCAGTGCAGTCGGTCTTAAAGTGACAGACAGCACACACCTAATAGGCTATTCCTACTGCTGTATGTGTCATTAATATTAATAAAACAACAAAATACAACTTTAACAAAGATGGAACTATATTTAATTTCTATAGTGCACAAATAGTGTTATTTTACATTTAGGCCTAATTATTAATTTCTGTACCTGAATATACTGTAAGACTTTTGTAACTCTGTTATTTATTAGGTATTCATCTCTGCTTGTAATTTGTATATTTGTCTTTATTTTATTACTGACTGTTCACTTGTTTTAAATATTGTGTGAACTTTATCAGTTAGGCTAGTAGTTTTTGATGTAGTAGCTCAGAGGTTTTTTAAAGTCTAAGACAGTGACTTACCCAATGGCACCCAAACACCGTCAATGATCTGAACCGTGAATTTTGTGATCTGTTCCACCACTAACGAAATCTGTCAAGAAATGTCTGGTTATATTTGACATTTTTATTGAAATGTGAAGTTTAGAAATGCAAGTAGACAAGACATAACACTTAAATCTCTTTTCTAACTCTCCAAGTCTTCAACCTTAAAACTGTTATAAACTAAGTTTTTGTCAAGTCAACATTCCAAGTTTTTATGTACTTAGCTTTTCTAGTTTTCTCTCCGATCAGGGTGGGTTCTCTAAAGGCCACTTTATCATGGTTAGCGATACCTTCGTTATCAACAATCAAGGAGTAATATCACTCCGGGGCGATGCTTCCTTGGATAGAGAAACTGTAGACAATTACATCCTACAGGTACAAAGCAATCACATTAATTTCTTAAATCCAACTAGTTACAAAATGTTCAGGATGACTATTCACTCTGAATGGGATGCTTGCATTGTCTTTCTCAGGTTGTAGCTGTAGACCAGCCTGTCGATGGTTTAAGCTCCACAGCTCAGGTCATCATCACTGTTCTGGACGTCAACGACAACAACCCACAATTCCTTCCTCTCCCAGAGCCCATTGAGATTCAGGAAGGTGCGTACACACCCTCATCACCTGGAGAGGTGTGCAAAATCTCAGCCACAGACGCTGACATTGGAGACAACGGTCGTGTCACCATCACTACTTCCTCACACAGTGAATTCTTCAGCTTCAGAGAGGTGAGGACATAAACCTATTGACATGACAATGTATTGTTAGATGTTCAGATCTTCCTTAATTTTCTAAACATCTATTCCTTTATTTCATTCCTTCAGGATGGGACTCTACTAGCTATCGAGGAGCTGGATCGAGAGACACAGGATGTGTATGATGTGGTCATTGTTGCTATGGATCATGGGATGCCACAGGGAAATGTAATTTGTAATGCGACTGTGTACTTCAATGCAGTTTTTAGTCTCTTCATGGACTGCAAGTGGATATTGCAAATGTAGAAAAAAAAGTCACTGAACTATCAAAGAACTTTCTCGAAATGCAAGCTCCAATCTGTTCATTAGGCTTTATATACGGTAGTCAGAGTGTAAATATCTGCCAGGATACAAATTGTGACAAATTACAAATGACAAAAAATACAAATTCAAAGCTCTGGATATCTGATACTAAAGCTAAACTCTACAGGAAAGTGGATCTCAAGGCCAGAGTTGAGAACCCCTGCTACAAAGGTTACAAATGACACATATAGCAAACCAGAGGCAGAATTATTTATTTATTTTGCTCTGTAGATCCAACAGTGTTGATATTCAAAGCTCTTGATACCTGATACTAGTACAATCCTTAATTTAGATACTAGACATTGCAAATATGAACTTTTGGTCTGCACTACAAAGGGTTGCTTGGGTTCATTTTCTGCAGAACATCACCACAGTGAGGGTCAGTATCACAGACGTCAATGACAACGCTCCAGTTTTCAGCTCTGACACCTACAGCAAAAGCATTCTGGTTAAAGACGCCAAGGTTGGAGAGGTGCTGCTGACGCTCTCGGCCACAGATAAAGATGCTGGAAACAACGCGCTAATTAGTTACAGGTAAGCTTAAGACTAAACTCCCATTTCTTTAGGATCAATAATATGAAGGATAAACCATGAACACACTTACATAGATCACTACTTTAAGACAGATGCATGAATGTTGTCTTTCTGTAGTTTCTCTGAAGGCTCCTCAATAGTCGCATTGGATGCTGACACAGGAGACATCACTTTGACCTCTGACCTTAGCGAGGTCACAGAAGACACGCTGCTAAACCTCACTGCTATAGCGACAGATCATGGAACACCACCAGAATCTGATGAAGGTTTGGGCTTAGTTTGCGTAATTCCTTTAGTGAATCTGGCGTTAAAACAATGCAGATAATGTGGGCAATTCTTATTGGGAGCCATTAATTCCCCCTTCAGTATTCAAATCTTATCTGATAAACAAGTCAAGATTAACATCTTTCTTCTCTCTGTAGCCGAAGTCTTGATCTACTTCAAAATTGCTCCTTTCACTGAGAGTGTGAGTTTTGAAAGCTCCTCCTACAAGTTCACAATAAAGGAGAATGAACCTGAGACCTCAATAGTGGGCAAGGTCAAGTCATTAACAGGAAGTCCACTGGCTACAGTCAGCTATAACATGAAGTCACACAAGCATGTCTTCTCTGTGGATGGTGAGGGAACCATAAAAGCTCTGAGACCGCTGGACAAGGAGGAAGAGGAGTGGTACATCCTCACAGTAGAAGCCATAGACTCCAGAACTCCTCCAAACACTGCAGAGACAACGGTACTATCCTTACTTAAAATTAAGGCCAGAAACAAACTCTACACAAGTACACAATTTACATTAATACATATACATATATATATCAGAATGCAATGACACAAGCTTGTGCAGCTACAGGTGTTAGAAGTGTTTGCATTCCCATACTTAGAATAGAGTATGTTTCTGGCCTAAGTCTTACTTTTCAAGCACATCAAAGTCAAAGTTTCTCTTCTTAAAAGAAAGCTGCCACAGGGCTCATTTATATTTGACTTTCCTTCTCTCACAATCTTCAGGTCAGCATTCAGGTTGAGAACGTGAATGAAGGTCCTGTGTTTGACGCTGAAATATATGAAGCAGAGATTTTCAGTATCTCTCCATACAAATTCCCTATAGTGAAGGTCCAGGTGAGTGTGGCTAGGCATAGACATCAGATATAAATGCAGTGGATGTACTCAGATCTATTTTATAATTAGTGGTGTTCGCGAAGGCAAACATTACTGTTACAATTGTTACTGTTTTGTCTCCTGACATATACAATTTGATGTCTGAAATGTTTTCCCCAAAGCAGCTCTTAGAAAAAAGGTTCAGTGAGGTTTTATTTAGAACCCTAAAATTCCTTACTCAATTTTAAAGAACCCTTCATATTTAAGGAGAAATACTTTCATGTTTAACAGGTTATTAAAAAAATTCTGTTGATAACTTATGTTTATGAGCTGCTTACTTTAAAAAATATAATTAATATTAAAAACTAAATCCATAAAATGATCCCCTGATGGGATCCCCTAAATGGTTTGAATGAAGTGCCTGACTTTTTTTTTTTTACATTTGATTTCATGATTTTATTGTAGTTAAACTGGTTGAAATGTGTTGGTGTGTTCCTCAGGCATTGGACCCTGATGTGGGCGAGAGCTCAGAACTGCAATATTCCCTGCTGGAGTCCACAACTCTGCTGGATGTGGAGGCAAGTACTGGTCAGGTCTACGTACTGGATGCATCCACATTTGGAGGCAATCTGTTCACCTTTCAGGTTAAAGCCACTGATAAACATGGGCTGTTCATGACTACAACACTACAGGTGAGCAGAAACAGAGAGAAAAAAGAGAAAGCTTTTGTAAGTTCAAATGACCAATGGCATTTTGATTGAGACCTTTACAAAGACGGGCTTCTTGTGTTTGCCACATGCAGATCGAAGTAAAACAAAGTTTTGACAGCATCGCAGTCATTTCCCTAAACCGGCCCATATACATAGTGGAGAAGAATATACCAGAGATGGAAGAGTGAGTAATCTATGTTTGTTATTGAAACTTGCACGTGTTATTAAGACAGAATAAGAGCATTTCCATTTGTGAAGTGTTAATGTGCTTTGAGCTAAGAGTGTAAATGGAAACATGTTTAAGAAATAATTCAGCCACAAATAAATTTAAAAATGAATTATTTTACTCACCTCATGGCATTCCTAATCTGTGTGTTCTGCTATGTTTTCACTGAAACACAAAAGAAAATGTTCATACAGCTCTTTTCCATACAATGTCATACAGTAAAGACCATTTCAAATAAGACAAAATAATTGTTTTTTTTCTGTTTTACAAATTGGACTGAATTGGTACTTCTCACCTGCTCTTATTGTTCTATAAACCATCTGATAGTGTGTTTTTTCCTCAGTTCCATGGGGAAAGTTTTAGGCTGGACTGTGAAAATCCTCAGTGTGAGAGCTGAGGATGGGAATGAGAAGCGCACCATTCTTAGAGAATCTACTGCCAAGACTTACGTCAGTTTCATCGCCATGGACTCCAGTGGTGCGCTCATCCAAGCCACGGTGGTCAAAGAGTAAGTTGAACTAATATCAGTTTATTCAGACTAATCTGTAAAAAGATTATGTGGAAATGTTTAATAGCTGATAGCCTTGTGGTCAGTGCTCCGATTCGTTTTAAAACTGATCTGAGATCTGATCATCTGAATACATTAATTTTCATTTTAACTTGTCTTTGACTGATCACGAGGCTCCTATCACATCCTGAAATGTTAACCTAATGTTTTTGAGTAATTTATCAAACTTCCCTGAGCTTCCTCTCAAACCAAAAACAGGAGAAAAGGGTTAGGGTAACAGAGGTAATTGTCTATATACCTGAGACCGTCGCATACACCCGTACACAATCAAAGATACTTTGGTGTAGCCCCCTGTGGTTTTGTATACACTTAAATTTAAAGTAACGTTTACTTCAGGCAGAGGTATGGCCACTACTACAGATATAAGTCGACCAACATTACTTCTCTTATAATAGTTTTGGATTGGCTATGCCATGGTTTCCCATGTACACTTATCTAAAGTAACATTAAATTAAAACAGAGGTAAGACACACCCAAATTTAGGTTGGTCAAGCAGCATTTTGCTAGCCTGACGTCGTCATACTCAGATTCTAGTCAGAATGTGAGTGATACTGCTCCATTGGGCTGTGATTATGGGTCGTGTTTCAATTGAACCAGGAAAGAAAATGCCTCTGCACTCAATTGGATAGACCGAAACCCGTAGGAAGGACCGCAAAACATTTTTCCGATCGACAAATGCATTGATCACGGTTCTCCGTTCCTCTTTTAAAATGAATGCGCTGTCTACATCTTCTATAACAGACGCGATGGCTGAATCTACACATCTAAATTCTCCAGCGGCAGCCATTCTTTGTTGAAAACGAATTCAACCCAAGCGCTCTTTGGTGATGTGGATGATTACGTTACGGTTGATCATCTGATTTTGCGGTAACATACGAATCCGTTTAATCTACTTGGGAAAACAATTTCAGAGCAAATCAGAATGTTTACAATTTTATTATGTCAGGTAAATGTATCATGCCAATTTCATAATCAGTTCAAAGATAATCAATACAATAACATCAAAATGCTCAGAGATAAAGAGTAAAGATGTAGGCTAAACCCGACATTTAGAAAAATACATAATGCTGAAGTCTTTGAGGTCCTTCAACATTATGGGCTGATCTGAGTTACAGAATCGCGCCGAGCCTCTTATTGCATTTCTTTAAGTACTCAGACCGAGACATTTGCTAACAATGGGAATTTGCATTCAGAGTTTACACCTTTTGGGAGCAGAATGCCATTTGCCTGGAAGACACACCCTCCTCTGCGTGCAACTTATTTCTAAACTGTTAAAAACTTTATTACCTTTTAGTTTACTTCTTTGGGAATGAGACCTTTGTACCAGTCACACTGAGACATTTCAAAAGATACCAAACATGTATAGTGTTGTATGATACCGTAATTGTTCACATTAAACCATATAGATTTTTTGGGTGAATTTCAGGTGATCTCAGCACGATAGAGAGAGGGAACGGGGGAATGGGGGGTCAAGCGAAAGAGATGTAAATTAGGATGATGCTTAGGTGAGACTTGCGTCTCGAATGGTGATGCTAATTTCACAAGAGAGAGTTCAAATGTTAATTTCTAGAAAGGTCCTTTGTCTTCTCAGGGAGTGATCGTTCCTTACATATTTTCTTACATATGTAATTATAATAAGGATGAGAGTGTTATGGGCAGCATCTGAAATATCTTCACTCCCACAGGAAACTGAACAGTAAGAGCGAAGATTTAACATCTGAACTGCAGAAGGTTTTTGGACCTGGTTTGGTAATCAAAGTGGAGGACAGTTCTGGAGACTCTGGAGAATCCAGTCAAACCATCAAATACGCTCTCATCGCTGTCAGTGTTGTGCTGGCTGTAGTCAGTGTGACTTCAGTGGTGATGATTGTCTATCTTGTCAAGTAAGATATTACTGGCCATGTAACTGCAGTTTCATCTATCTATCTATCTATCTATCTATCTATCTATCTATCTATCTATCTATCTATCTATCTATCTATCTATCTATCTATCTATCTATCTATCTATCTATCTATCTATCTATCTATCTATCTATCTATCTATCTATCTATCTATCTATCTATCTATCTATCTATCTACCTATCTATCTATCTATCTATCTACATATCTATCTATCTAATATGTAGTGGGTGTGTGCGTGTGTAAGTGAGTGAGTGAGTGAGTGAGTGAGTGAGTGAGTGAGTGAGTGAGTGAGTGAGTGTGTGTGTGACAGAATAAACTATGCTGTGGTCAAATGATTTGAAAATAATTCCTAATTGAAAAATAAACTTGAGTCAGAATAGATTTTCTTTTATTTGATTGATTTAAATTGTCTGTTCTGTTTCACCTGGACTGCCAGTAGTAGGTACAGCTTTCCTAAAATGCCATAATGTGTTGTCTTTATAGTGATAAAATGTTTCATGTTGAACATTGCTTATGTTTTAGGGGTAATTTTTTCAAAGTGAAGCAAATTAATATGTTTGTTAAATTAGTTATAATACATCTTTTTGCTGCCTCAGGGAAGAGGGCACAGATGAAACTGAAACTGAAAGAAGACACAGTATTGACCACGTTGCTGACTTTAACACGTAAGTGCCAAAATATTGTTAAATATCTGATACAAATAGTTTGAAAAGATTGTTCTCAAATACAAAATATGCATCAGTTACAATGTTTTTATCTGCATTGATTTGTTCTGAGATGTTTGACTAAACATGTTTCTTCTTTTGTTAACAGAGACCAAGAACTAAGATAGGTAAAGCCCCCTGCTGTAACAACAAACTCATATAATTCATTAAGTATCTAAATTCTTATTTATAATTTTGTCCTATATGTATTCTGTTTTCTAGGATGAGGATAGTAACAGATCCTGACAGACAATCTGAGAATGGAAGTGATAATCGTGGAAACAGCATCTCTGCCCTCTGAAAACACCCTGATGGATCAAAGCTCCTCACTTCCTCTCAGTGGTGTACAAGACTTAGTGAAATGCCTTTTGTAGGCAGGCAGCATTTTTAAGGTTGACATGGACGAAAACACCATCGGGTGACAGAAATCAGGCTCTGGGCTTCAGCATTACAGGATTAACATCTCTGATCATGTGTCCTCAGTTCCAGGATCAGCCATCATGTGACTCATACAATGACAAACTCAAGTCACAACCAAGCGGCAAACTTCCGGTCTCTCTCTTGAATCCAACACGGAAGTGACTTAAACTGCAATTCATCGACTGGCCGCTAGAGACAGCTGTTAAGACACATGTAGCACTGTAGTAGAGCAAACAGGAGAGATGGTGCTGGATACGCCACAGTCATTGGATTGATTCCCAAGGAATACAAGAACTGCCAAATTTGTAAATGTAAATAAATGTATATTTTTTAAAATATAGCCTCTTTGTCTTTAATTCACATTTAGCATTTGGTAAAAAATAACAAACATTAAAAATGTTTAACATATTTTGTTACATTTCCAGATAAAATATCAAATAAAATAAAAACAAGATCCTACAATTACTTCTTTGAAGTGACCATCACATTTAAATTTTAATAATGGTCTCATAAAAGGGCCCTTAATGAAGGGTTTGGTTTGGAATTTTACTTCACATAACACACATTCACCAAATTGTCCAATTGTTATTTTTGCTGATGTATTCATGTGTATTGGGTTAAATGGTGGAAGAAAAGTTTGCAACATTTGTTTTATGAAAATGTGTCTTACACATTTCCTTTGGGAAGATTTCTTATGTGTCTCATAAAACTGTGAGTTAAGTCTATCTATATAAGAATAATTATGTAACAGTGATAAGATGACAATAAAGTAACTAATATGCATTTTTACACAGACCACAACTACTGTGATTGGTCAGGATGGAATCTGTGGTAGCTTTGTATTCACATTCAGAATTAATAGCCTGGAAGCTTTTAATGAAAGCAGTGAGACTGATAAAACACAAACACTTTGAGAAGACCACAACAATAGATGTTAATATTGATTAGGCATGTGGAACTAAAGGTTGTTGTTTTTTAAGTACACGGAACAAAGACTTTTACAACTCCTGGAGGGAAACAACACATGCAACAGCACCCTCTGCATGTCAGGAGGAGCAGAGTGCGTAAAAATTCAAAGACATTTATCTATAGACTACTAGAGCATCATATAGAAAAACAAATAAAAAGCAGTGCATGAGAATGCAAAACTTGCTCTGTGTAAACCGGCCCTAAGGCAGCTCCCTATGGGAGTAGGCAGTAAGGCAACTTGCTAGATTTAGGAACAGAGCAAATACTCCCAATCACGGGCGTCAAGTGCAACTACTCTGAGTGTGTGTGATCGCTAACTCCATACTAAAAGACTTGCTCCCTTTTTCCATCAGAAAACGAAAGACACATATAATACAGATTTCTAAATGTGTGTTTAAATATATAATTTTATGTTAAAAAAATAACTGTGCGCACATAACACATAAATCATAACTTCATTGCTGGTCAATGAATCGTAACTTTTTAACCTTACATATTTATTAAACTATAAAAATTATTTATTCAAACTTGTATATCTTATTCTAATGAATATATTTCAACAGGGTTACATTAACTACATTCGTTCCGAACCAAAATCGATCAACTAAGATCCTTATGCGTGCATGACATCGATCCTGTGATGTGACTATTTTGCGGATACGCACATTGCGATATCGATGCTAAAACGTTATATCGTGCTGCCCTAATCATGTTTTCTATATTACCAGAGATAGAGAAAAATCCTACTCCAGTATATACGTGTCCCCAAAAATGTTGGTACTCAAAAGCGCTTCCCTCCACGTTTTCAGGTGCGTATCATTCATTTTTACCACTCATGCGCACCAGTTATGTGCACCCCTGGATATAGATTGCAGATATGCTGTCCGAAGCAGGCCTGTCAACCAACTCAGTGATGTATGTAATATAAACACAGCTCGCAACTATTCCCTGAATAGAATGGGAACATATGTGAAAACTAAAAGCAAAATCACCACATGAATGAGCGTATTATTTTGCTGTTTTTCTTCCTTTCTTTCTTCTCTTTTTTTACACACTCATTACAGAATGAGCCAACGATGGCTCTGTAACATCCAGTTTATAAAATCGAACAAAAGTGTGAAGTGAAGCCTAACTTGTTGCCGCACAAATGTCCTGAACTGAATGCCCTTAAACAGTGCCCATGAGGTAGCCATACCTATGGTAGAATGAGCTCTCAGCCCTTCCGGAGAACTGAGACCCATTTTATTATAACCTAGCTTACACTACCCAGTGGGACAGGTGCTGATGTGAAATAGGTTTACCCTTATAAGAATCAGCCCATGAATCAGCTCTTCCTTAGTATCTTTGTTCTGTCCACATAGTGAAGCAATGCACGGACAGGGCAACGGAACAATGAAGCCGCTCTTCTTCCGATGAGGAAAATCCCAGCGGATGAAAAGCCAGTAAATCCACCTGGTTACAGACTTGAGCTGATTCACTCACTTTAGGGACAAATGCTGGATTAGTTCTGAGTCACCCTTGAGTAATCACAGTGAACAGCCTATACGAGTTATGAACCAACAAAGCATGAAGTTCTCTAACCCGCCTCATGGTCAAAAGAGCCAATAATAAAGCAACCTTTAGAGAAAGGAGCTTTAAATCAACACTCCCTATGGGTTCAAAAGGGGTCTAATGACCACGGACAGATCCCACGGCGGAATCAGCGAACCCTGTTCATAAGCCGCACACCTCTTGTAAACCTGCATACGAGTGGATTAAGTGTCTCAGTCAATCCCCACATTGCACACAGAAATCGCGGCAAGATATACCTTTATTGTAGAAAAGGATCTTCCCTAGTCTGAAAGCTCCTGCAGAAAGCATAAGACATCCGCAACCAGACAGAGGAAAGGTAAAACGTGTTGGTGCGCACACCATTGCTCGAACACATTACATTTCCATTCATAATGGTTTCAATCATCCTCGAAGATAAACACGTAATGTTTAAGTGTAACCTCTCACGGGGAGGAGCCACTTTGTCTGGGGCTGGGTGAAAAATCTCCCCTCGTGCTTGTGAGAGGAGGTCCTTGCACAACGGGAGAGGCCAAGGCAGGTCGCACAGGAGTTGAATTATCTCCATCAGCCACAACTACCCTGGCCAGTTCGGGGCGATCAGTATTACTGAGTGACTGTACTCTCCAGAGGTGTAAAGTCCAGGTTCAGAAAGTAAAAGTCCTCAGTATTTTGTTCCAATCACCTGGATTTGTTAATTAGCACAGTTTTTCAGCCAGGAGATATAACTAATTAGTGAAATCAGCTGGCTGAGTTCATGGGTGGAATAAACATATGGCAGGACTTTTACTTTCTGTCCCCTGGACTTTACACCTCTGGTACTCTCTTATGGCGGCCATACACTGTGCGATTTTCGTCCGATTTTGAGCCGAATTCTGACTCGTGCGACTCTTTTTCGGGTCGGACCGATTTTCAGCTTTGTCGTGCGTCGTGCAGTGTTCGTGCAGTGTACAGGGAGAAACGAGAGGCGATTAACCTCTCCCGATCGACAATCGGATGGTCGGATGAATTTCTGGCATGTCAGAAATTTGTTGTCGCTCCTCGTGACTATATCGCACAGTTGAAGCAAAGCTACGAACCGATTGCCCTAAGCTCAGTGGTTTTTCCCCCACTGCGCCTGCGCGAAAACAGAAGTTTAACCATTTCATCTGCAGCAAAAATAAAATTAAAATAAAAACGAAAAGATATAATTTTTGTATATTAAAATAATACAAAACATTTGCTGACCACTCTCGGGACTAATGAGAGCCCGAAAGAAACTGTCCAAAACTTGTATAGGCTGTGCCCTGATAGGCAAACCTGAGGAATTTTCTGTGTGCCGGCTAGATGTCTATGTAAATCTTCTTTCAGATCGACTGATGTACACCAGTCTTTGGGACGAATATAATGACAGACTTTTGAGCGAGAGCATTTTGAATTTGTACTTTCTGAGGTGTTTGTTGAGGTCCCGCAAATCCAGATTGTCTCAGCCCACTGCCTGGATGCACAGGGAATGAGTTTATTATTTTCACACCACACATGTCCTTTTGAAAACTGCCCTCTACCCTCCATTGTTTGTAACCCCGTGGGAGGAGGGGGGAGAAAGTCTCTGTGGGGCACTGAGGGAACCGGTGCCAACTTCACAACTGAAATGGCCATAAGATAAGTTGCTCTTTATTATATAAAATCATCAGCATAACATAATAATAATAATCTTTCTTAAATGTATGTACAGTGTTTATTGTGTGTGATCTTTGACTTGTTCTGTAATGTCACTAAAATGCTGCTGTAATAAATATAACGCTGGTTCTGATAAACAAGGCTCATATGACTAAGCAGTGATAAGTGTCAGGGTTATGTTCTGTGTTGTCTGTCTTCATTTTTGTTCACCTTCTGTTTGCTCATTTTCAGTTGACCCAGTTTTTCCATGTTTCTTTATATCATCTCCTCCACCTGTCCCTTGTTTTTCAGCTCATTAGTCCTCGTTTGGTTCAGTATTTATTGTCCTATGTTTCCTGAGTTCTTTGTTCTCTCTGAACATTAGTAAAGTTTTGTAAGCCTGTTTCTCTGTATCTCCCTGAGTTGTTTGTATTAAAGACTGTTCTCTTGATATTTCGTCTTCGTGAGTATACTCTCGCAACATTCTGTGACAAAAAGATTGTGTTGACAGTAGAAACATGGAATAAAGGATATAGATTTTATATATATATATATATATATATATCGTTGATATA